CTCACGAACAACCGTCAATTATTGAATTACATTCATTTAGTTAGGATTTATTTTTAATAAATTTATAGGGTTAGAAACTGAGTTGTTGAGCTTGTAAATAACTAAAAAACACAAGAAAGTGATTAACTTTTTCTTTGTTGTCTTTATTCAGCTAAGTGTTTCCCAATTTATAAAAGATAAAAAAACAAAACTGGACTTGTAATGAATTTAAAGGGGTTATATCAGGCAAAATCCTTGTTTTTAGCTGTTAAATACATTTTCTTGTGTGTTTCCATGTGCAGAAAAGTTGAATTTAGTTTTTCCTGGTGCTACAAAGATATCTTTATAATCTGTTTGGTTCATACTTTTCAGCCCGTTCCATTTTCTCTATTTTCTATGACGTTTTCTGAACTATTATGTCAAATAATCTGTAACGGAATCGCCATTAAAAGGTCTGGACGTATCAACTACAATGTTATCATCTTCATTCTCCTCTGGCTCCAACATGTAAGGCTGGATGAAGTCTTCTGTTGATGACGTCTTTCAATTTAATTGTAAATAAAACATTGCTGCATTGCTAGAAAATGTAACATCCTCTCTCAAACCGGAGTGGATCGGTCTGGAAGCCGGAGGGGGGCGGGGCTTGAAGAGCCTTAAAGGAACAGTAACAAATCCTGTACACAGCAGAAAAGTGGTGAAAAAGGTAAAGTTAAAATAAGGAGGAATTTAAAGCAAAGCATTGTAGTTCCACTTTATAAAAAACCCAAATGAATGATTTAAATGTGAAAAGGAAGGATTTAAAAGCACGATATGTCTACTTTAATATCAAAATGATATTTTTTTGTTGTTCTTTTATTTCTCAGGTTTCCAAAAACGGCATGGTCAACTCTGTGTTTACACTTTATGAGCTCTCCAATGGTGACGACACAGAAAGTGAAGGTATGATGCTTTAAAACTACTTATTTTACATTTGTACATCTTGGAAGCTCTTGTGGTCCACATGAAATGCTCTGGCGAGCTACATTTGGCCCATGGGCCTTGAGTTTGACACTTGATTTAGTACTTCGTTTTAAATAAAAGATAAGATAAAACTTAATTGTCCATAAAAAAATATTTAGTTTAGTGTTTAGTTTTAACACTACTTYATTTCTTGTTTGAATATCCTTGGTTCACATAAACGTTTTTACGCACTCAACCTAAAATGGAACATATCATGGTCCGTCTGTGGACTTTTTTATTTTCTAAGCTCTAAACTGATACCTTCTTTTTGTCGTGATCCTGTGTGTATATATTTCCTTTATTTGTCTCATTCTGTTGCTCTCAGCTTTAATTGTGTAGAAACTTTTAGATGTAATTCAAAGTGTGTGGGGAAAAAACAACGTTGGTGCAGAAATAAATAGTTATGACTACCTTAACTTGTCTGTTTTATACCTGTTTGAAATTGATAAGTTTTGAGTTAAATTTAAAAAGCAGGAAGTGTTTCAACAGGGACCAGATACCAAAGGTAAGGGACCTAAAGCTGAAGTTTAGTCCTTGAAATGTCAGAAAACAGAGTAAGACCTGCTCTGTGTTTAAATAACGCCTTCTCGTTGGTCGTTACCCTTCGTTTTCTCCTCGCAGAGTTCCACGGATTAGAGGAGTGGATGCTGCTGCGCTCCCTGCAGGCTCTACAGACAGACGGCAAAGCGGAGATCTTCAGCATGGACGACGGAAAAGGTGTCAAGTTCTTCTGAAAACGGTGCTGGGATCACACACACTCTGACCGGGCGCCCTCATATCACACCTTAACAGACACATTTTAAAGGCGCGCCTCGGCGCTCGGCCCGGCAGACGCTGGCTGTTTAATTGTTGTTGTTGCCTTCTGGGTTCAGAGCCAGCTCTTTCTGGAAGAGAACCTTTACAGTCTGAGGTGACACTGTGTTTATCGACAGGTAACGTTTGTTGCCATTTAAAACATGCAATGAGTATCAGGGGACTAAATAATATCATGTTTGAATCTTATAGGGAACTCCATTGTTTGAGATGCAACTAGTTTTATTTCTGTTTAACCAAATGTGTAAATTATCTCTGAACCTTTGCTTGGCTGTTGTTCCTCCGTTCCGGGCCAGACGTCACAAAGAAATCGCAGAAAGCAACACCAGAGGGACTTTTATTTTTAAATTTTCAGAATGCTTCCAGGAGAGGAGCGCCGCAGAGACTTCAGCCGATGCTCAACTTGACTCGGCTCAGAGAAACAAAACTGCACTTCGGATACAGATTGCTGTCATCCTGTTGTTGTTCTGTATTTTCCATAATGCTCTTATCTTCATCTTTATCTGTATTCCTTTTTTTCCCCCATATCCTGTAGACAAATAAATTAGACATTTATAAAAAAAAAATTGTATGATTTTTTTTATTTTATTTCTCATAATCTGACTTTTTCTACAACTAGTTTTCTAATCTTGAACCCTGTGAGCACAGCTTCTCTTTTAGATTAGATTCGTTTTTTTTTTTGCTAACTTTGGAAA